AGCCGACAACTTGGATCTCAACACCGCTCAAATTCCCACCCAACCAACCTCAACACTCCAATTACAATAATCCCACTTTTTGCTTTCCCGCCACCCGATTTTCCAACCAATAATATAACATCAGGCATGAATTCAGACACTAATTCACATATTTCATTTTTATACTCCATTTCACAACTCAATAACCCTAATATTGAAACCCCAGATGAATTTGCAGACTCCGAACCATCTCCATCCAATAATTTTCAAACCAACTCCTCAGTTTTTTCAAAACCCCCTTTTCAACCAATCCCACCAAATAACCCTCTCCCATACATTTCTACACCCTCTTATGCTTCACAAGTCACCCCAACCTACTCTTCATTTCATTCAGACCGATCATCCAATTCTCCAGATATTCCCCAAATCTCCCAAGAACTAGACAATTTTATCACCCTACAACAACAACCCTTCCACCTTGACACCTCCACTATAAATCAAATTTCATCCACAATAGAATCATCAAACCCACCTACCCCTACACCCTCTTCAGCTTATACCGCATCATTAGCACAATCATCCACATCCACCGAATCATCAAATAGCACTAATAGAGCTTATCGCACTTTCAAAAGAAAATTCCCAAACCATCCATTTCCAACAAAACCAGGAACAGCCCATGAATATATTAATCATCCAAATCACACTAACACGAAAGATTTTCTAGCAATCACTTTACCTTCATTTCCACAATATACTTTAAACACCCCTAACGACACTAACGACACACGTAGTTTTGTAGATGAACATGTTTTAATGCCTACACTTCATTGGACATCATATTATCATTTTACTAATCCCCTTTGCCTACCTTTATCTAATACTCACATCGATATAGAAAGAAATCAAGATATGCTATATCGACTCACCACATCACTCACACATAGACAATTTACCTATATAGGATATAAAAAATCACTAAAAACATTCACTGCACCCCGAGCTAACGAATATACGCTAGAATATTATGATCATAACATCATCCGAGCTAACCAAGACCAATTTTTAGATGATGATCGATTCGCTAACCCACAAATCACAGAAAAATTCTTCATCAAAACACCATATGTATTTACACTCAATATATTTGATCGAAAATTCGACCACGTCATTTCTGAAGCATTAACCGACATGCAAGCTTACGAAAGTTTTAAAGAAAGATTTCAATTATTTTCACTAACCTTCAATTTCCTTGCACCACATGAACGCGATTTGCACTGCTCACACGACATTATGTTACGCACTAAACAAACCCACACATATACATATTATCGTTTCATACAAAATCATTTTGATCAGCACACTCCATCAAGACAACCACACCACCGTTTTCAGTTTATTAACTCTAAATACACTTCACCATTTTTTCTCAACTTCACATATTGCATTAAAGATACTAACCTTCACGGTATTCTTCGCAATTATGATCCCATAACCCAAATGTATATATTTTGTCCCATCACGAAGACCTTTAACGCAGAAGAATCCAGACCCTTCCTTATCCCACATGAATTTATCCAACCTATAGAAATCCCAATATTAGAATTCATCCACAATACTAAATACAATCACAAATTATATAACCTCATTCAAAACACACCTTATGAGATTGCAGTTGGCACTGAAGAACTAAAAACTATTAAAGCACTTCAATTGCTTTGGCCACTGCTTCAGACTAAAAAAATCATTCGCATACTAGCAAAATTACTAACCAACTCCGACATAATACACGACATCTTCCCCCACGGTTTTTTCCCCGACGACTAACAGGTAAGTATAATTTATACATATTTTTCACTAATAAATTCAAATTAAAACTAACCATTTTTTATCCATGTCTCATTTAGATTTTTAGTCTTCATCCCACGATCATCTGCAAAAAACACAAAAGAAAAATAAAAAATAGAAAACTTCTTCAAATTCTTCTAACTCTATTAATATTTTGCACTAGATAAATATAATAAAATTCATACCAATGTAGTAAATTAAATTATAAATTGTTTCCCCAAAAGCAGTAATTTTAATAATGATGAAAATTTGTAACTTAATTTTTCCCCAAACTAGCAGTAAAATTAAAATTCTTTGTAGTAAATTGATAAAACAAAAATGCAGTACTAACCCTTTGATATTTTCATTCACTCGCACAAAAATTTTATCCAAACTCGCACAGCTCGCCCATGAAGAATTGTTTAAATAATGAATTTCAGTTTCAAGTTTTCACACTCAACAACTCTAACACACGATAACAAATTTCAAACTTTCCTTTAATCCGGTTGGAAAGGAATTATATACTAAACAAAACTAACCAACGCAGCTTACTAAACACCACAAAACATAGAATAACAGCATGACTAAGAAAAGAAAACCAACGGTACCCAAACCGGATTAACCCAGTTTAAAACTGGATATTTTATTCTTTTGAAGACTATTATAAAGTCTAAGAAAGAAATAATAAAACACAAAAATGTCGAAAGACAAACCCATACCAAAAACAATTTGATTTTCGAAAAAAGGACACAACCAACGAAACATAAGAAAAACCACCATAAACCCAACATAAATTGTTATCACATGACAGGACCTCTCACAGAAACCGCACAAAATCATACTCCCACTCCTCGCCTAACCCACCAGAGAGGACGTCCTGAGCATGCTCTATAGCCGGCCTAACCCAACGCGCTACATCCACGCTTTGTGACCACACTTCTATTTTTAATAAGAGGTACTCAAGGGTGAGTAACTCTTCAAAATAACCAAACTAAAACAAAATGCTTTTGTGAAAACAACTAACCAAAATCATAATTAAAACACTGAACTAATAAAAATTCTATAAAATGTAAATTATACCTTGCAGTATATAGATCAGCATACAACATCAAAGACGAACATCCAAAGACAAAATGACCCCACTATACTCGAAAAAGAATGGCCACCCACAACCAATATGCCGTTCACAATCACAACTCAAAAGATTTAGAGTACGACTTGACTTCGCAGAAAAGGACTTCATTGAACTAGACCAATGACCACCTCGATGTTCAAGTATACGTACAGATCCGAGTAACAAGGCATCCCCTCCACGCACAATCTCCACGCCATTCCCAGACGAGGTCGAACGCAAAAGAAGTTCTCTACATGAAACAGAAAAACCCGTCATAGCAAACCATTCTGAAATCAGATTGATTTCGTTGGAAAACACAGTCGTTGTTACAAGAAAACACAACGATTGATATTCATCATTCCAGCGTCCTGGAACTTCTCTAACAAAAGAACCCAGAAGAATATGGTGTTCGCCAAATACCAACGTCCATCATCCATCCTTTGAATTGCAGAAAGACAATTCTAAAAAACTCTGTAAAACCCGGATGGGTGGAACCTGATCTAAACTACATTTTATGATTGGATAAATTAGATATTTTACCACTGTAAAGTATTTAATATTAACCAATCATGATCCATCTAACTAACAACCCACTTATTTGTAAGTGCTGAAATTACTTGTAATTTCAGCACCAGAGAGATTTGAATTTAACTTAGAAATTAGTTGCCTCTCCAAGAGAACTTCAGCAGCCGCAATAAACCAGTATACCCTAGATCTATTGAGCCTAGCAGAGACTAGTTAAACAACCTGAGACTAGATAGTATAAGAGTAAGATTAGGATCGGTATTAGACTAAGAAGTTGCACGAATCTATCCGGCCGAAAATAAGATAGCGTGACGAGCAGACGGTGTACCCTATCCGAAATGAGTTAACCACGTCGGTTCTAACTCACTAATGAGATCATTTTTTCGAAATATGTTACTATTGAAAAAACTGCCGCAGAATTCAATAAGGCGATATTTTTTATGTGCATCTGCTGCTTAGACTCATGCAAAACTCGATTGTCTTACTTGCAAAGAACATTTTTTCAACCTCATCATTGATTTATGAAAAAAAATGCCCCTTTCAAATTGTAATGAATTTTCAAGTGTAGTTTTCAGTGTAATGCTCATTATGATTCCCACGCCCTAGAAACTTAAAAAAAAACATTTGCGTGTCACATTTGTACTTCTTTATTTATTTATCAGCCAGTGAAGCCCCAGCCAGACATAAAATAAAAAAAAAACTATTGAAGTACCGTTTCAGTTTTGTCACACGCGTTTTTTGGAGTTTGATTGTTCTCTTTTGATAGACCTCTTTTTTTAGAAATAAGCCTGCGGTCTTTTTAGTGATTTTTTTAGTTCTCCCAAATCGCTATAACGACCCCATTTTTACCAAATTTGCTGCGCCGCAGGCAAATTAAGGAAAAAAGGCCAAAAACGCGTTGTTGGGCACTTTTTGGAAAATGTCAACCAAAAAATTGTGTTTTTTTCCGGGGCGCGCTCCCCCTATAAAACTAGTATATATTGGCGCCGAATGCGCCTTTAGAAAATTTTTAGGGTCCGTCACCAAATATGGATATCTCAAAATAGTACAAAGGGGGGACCCTTTGGGTTGGCAGGGGGTCGAATCCCTGAAAAAGCAAAAGCCACCCCGCCCCCCGCCCATAAATCCACCCCTGGCCTCCCCCTCGAGAAAATCCTAGATCCGCCTCTGTAATAAACTCTTACTCATCAATGATCCAGCACTGTAAAAGTAATTTTCTTTTGATCTGTGTTCATGTGTGACTCAGAAAATCCAATGTGGTGTATTTCACAATTTTGCCTTTCGCAGTATTGCTGGCTGAAGAAATGCTGATCCAGTTCTGGTTAGTTCTGCTATTTCAATCCGGGTCGCCTTTGTTAAAACTCTAGAGGATTTTAAGTTTTTTTTTAAGTAAATCTACGACCTGCTGCGCCCTAAAAATAATTTTTCGTAGCTTGTGAGACCTATCTCAATTTATTTCCAACCTATTGGCTATGTTGAGCTCTCATAGAAACATCTTAATTAAGATAATGAGACTGTGAAAATTATCATTTCTTTTTTCTGGAAAAAAAAACAATTAATAATAAATTTTGCTGTAAATTTACCATGCAGATAGTGACGTATTCTAATTTCTATTTTTATTACACCAAGGAATAAATGCAAATAACGACATATCAAAACAGACATTAATCTTTTGTTGACAATCATAAATTAAGTTATTTCAAGAATAAAACGGTAGACAGTTTTTGTAAGATTTTCAATTAGATCACAGCCTTGTTCATAGCCTTGTAGTAATGTAGTCATAATTATTTTTTAAATGACGCGATCAAAATTTTTTTCAAATGAACCAATGATTTTAGAAAACATAAATCACAAGAAGCTAGGATTAATCTGCAAATTGGTGACATATCTATAAACTACAACGGTTAGCTTTTAAACGAATAAATTTGGAACATTTTTTCAAGCTACAAAAAAAATAGTTCATATCTTTTGCAAACTTTTGCAATCCGTCATCACGTGATCAAGTCAGGTGAGGTGATCAAGCTCGTGAAATGTTCTGTCCTCCGGGAGTCTTGCCGTCCCCTCCGCCGTTCTGCTCCTCGAAGTCCTGTTGGTTGTGCAATTGGCACAACACACATGAGGTGCACCACAACGAGAGACAGCAGTCTGCGAAGGCTCCGCCTTCAATGTCCTGTTTGGCTCTAAGAGCCATTCGGAATTTGAACACGACCAGGACGAAGACAATTGTGCTAATTAAAGCCACCCCAGCCATAACCTAGAATTAAAACAATATTTCATAGAAAAATAACTAAGATGCATTACAATATCAAAACTAGCGAGCTAAATGTGGAGGGTTATATCGTTAAAAAATCAATTCTAGGCCCCAAAATTTTTTTCTATTGAATTACTCATTTTCCTTGAACCCCACTCATTCTGGTAAGAGTGCCTTCAAACACTCACCTGCTGGATAAGCGAGTACATTTTGTCTTCTTCCGGCTCCACAATAACCCCAGTTTGTTGGCTGGTATGATACGCTTGGGTATTCATAATAGCATACGACGCAACTGAGTCGCTAACTGCCCAAAGACCGCAAACTATCACCGATACTATAGCTGCTATTTTCATTCCCAGTCTCACTCCCACTTTATATGACGTCACGCAGGGAAAGAAACACGTGATCAGACACCAGGGCACATTTTCTGTGCACCCGCAAATTCCATGAACCCACTCTTGAACCATTTCTAGTGTCTGAAAAAAGGTGAAAAATGAGAAAGCAATGTCAAATTTGGTTACTTAATCATAATTATTACATTTTTTTTTTCAAAGTAATCATGCATTCATTCAACACATTTTGCGTAATGCCAAATTAGCATGTTTGTTAAGGTCAAGTCCTGATTCAGTTCAGTTCTAAATTGAACACACCTCGTTGAAATATTGCACGTAGTTTTATGTAACACCAAAACTACTGGAATGAAAGATTGAGGCTGCTGAAAGCGATCTCAGTATCTGAAAAAGTGAACGTTTGTTGGCAACGAATGAATAAACCCCATTTAGCGGGCAAAATATGAATTTTGAAAATAAACGGGACTGACTGTATCAGAACAAAGCCTTGAATGTCTATGTAGGTTCTGCTTAAAAACGTTGTAGTTGTCAAAAAATAAAAGAAAAGTTTTAGCAAGTTTTTTTTCAGCTATTCTCCGCACGCTATATAAAATACAATGTGATACAAGTTGCAAGCTCTGAATGTTCCGGCTGCACTTGAATGTCTATAAAATTTTTCAAAATAATCGAATCTTTTTTAGGAAAATTTCCAATCCATACGCCATGTAAGCTACAAAATGACGTATTTAGCGACCCTTGTGTTTTAACAAGACTGCTTGTATCAAAGCAAAGCCACGAATGTTATGACGGCTCTCAGTCTTCGAAATAATTTCTGAAAACAACTTGAAAATATTGTAAAATTTTAATATAAAAAAATTGAAAAAAAAAATTCCCCATATGTCAGGTACAAAGTGATGTTTTAAGGGCCTGGAAACGTAGTAATAATACACATTAATCTCCCGCAATTCCACTTGGAACGATTTATAAGCTGCTTAAATAACCGCTTATTCGTTAAATTGACTACCTCGCGCGTATTGACTAACCGCTTATTCGTTAAATTGACTATCTCGCGCGTTAACTGACGCGCGTTAGTAACCCACGAGCTCAAATATTTCGTCTTTTAGTCAGAAGTCGCAGCATTAAGTATGTTGCCTAAAATGATTTTGAAATTTATTCTGAGAAATCAAACGCCTAAATCAGCACTTTCAATGTTAAATAATGAATGTTGAACTTTGAGATAATGTTTTGTGATATTGAACAATAATGAAAAATTTTCTAAAAAAAAACATTATGACGTCGTAGCACGTAGTACATGCCTTTGCAAACACGTAGATCCCAGTTCAATTCTCATTCTAAATTGTTTTTTTTTTAACAAAAATTGGCTTCAAGAAAAAAACACTGCAAGCTTATCTTTTGTGGTATATTAATATTAAGATAGTTGGAAAAACAAGACTATATGTAGCATGCCTCAATCAACTTGCAATTTTTTAAGCCTGTCACTGGTCAAACTGCCAGACACTGGTTTAAGCCAGACACTGGTTCTTAACTGATCAAACTGACTTTTTTTAAATCCCCACTTATTTCAAATCAAGGAATGATTATAAGTGCGGATAATTTGCCACCCATAAACATTTCGCGTAACCAGTATTATTTTTGCAACGTTGCCATCCTCATTTTAGCCTAGTGCAAGATTGATACCCATACGCAGTCTCTTTGTAAAATTGGTCTAAGCATAAACAAGACTGCTCGTATCAAGGCGAGGCCCTGAATGTTCCGATTGCCTTTCAAGATTGTGAATTTTTTTGCCTTTATGTGATTTTTTTTGTAAAATATTTAAAGTACAAAATGATAGATTTCGCTCCTAGTAACAAATCAAAAATGACAAATAGACTTCCTTCGACCAATTTGGAACAATTTCTAAGACGGATTAAATCTCCGTTTATAGCGTGAAATATATCGCGCGTTAATTGTCCCAAATTGGCCCAAATGGCAATCTTTAAACCCCCATAACTTCATGAAAAAGATCACAGTTGAGTTATCTTTTCAAATTTAAGCTCAGGACAACAAAAATTTTTTAATGATATGAAAAAATTTCACCAAAAAGGCCAAGTTCAAAAGTCGAAATTTGTCTGAAGAAAAAAAAACCCACCCCGAGCACAAATATTTCGTTACTTTCGTATCGAAAATTGGAACAATAAATTGAGAGAAGCTTAGAAAGTGAGTCGATGGGTGGTTATAAATTAGTTACAATTTAGTTTGCAGTTTGTCTGAAGAAAAAAAATCACCCTGAGCACAAGTATTTCGTTTCTTTCGTTACGAAAGTCGAAACAAAACCCATCCCAGGTATATATATAGTTCTCATATAAAAGTCGGAACAATAAATGGGACGAAACTTGCTGGTGTATCAAAAAGGAAGAAATCTGTTGATTTTGAGGACGAAATCTTTCGTTGTATGAATTGAGGACGAACTCTGGTACTACTATGATATAGTGGTCCCTCGAAAAAGCAACTATGACAGAAAAGTCCCGCATGCATTTGGCATGTAATAAAATGAAAATTAATTTGTGTATAAAATATTTGTTTCAAAAATCTCGTAAAATATGTTGATGAGTCAGGAATTTTTTTGTTTAAAAATTGGAATTTTTTATATTGCTTATAAGAAAATTAATCGCTCAAATTATTTCACGATTTAAGAACAACTTTTTTGGGTTAACTTTTAGTTTTCATCAAAAATCAACTTTGCCAATTTTCCCTAATTTTCAACCTTAAAACGGTGAGGGGTGAAGTTTTACAGCATAGCGAAACATAAAATCAGTTTGAAAATATTTTCCGACATCTTTCTGAATGGCAAAATCATAAATATTAAACAATTTGAGAGCTCTAAGTGTGTCTAATTCTTAAGGGACCTGGCTATTTTCAAGGGACCACTCTATCATAGTAGTACCGGAATTCTTGGAATTCAAACCACGATTGAAATGTGCGTCAATATGATAACATAACTCTGCTCCACAATAAAAAACAATTCAATTCAGTAAGTTCTCAGATAAAAATCAGTGGTTGCTGTAAGTAAATTTTATAATCGGTCAAAGTCCAATAAATCTGAAGCTGGCTGTTATCAAACGAATAAGACTAAGAATTTTATTTTTTTTATATATATATAGCACAATTTTGAAGCTGCGAATAAGAAAAGAAAGTGCTTAAAGGTCCTCTATTCCGCCATTGGTACGTTTTTTAAGCTTTTTTGGAATCTTACCAAATTTGATTGCAAAATTTACCTGAAAAAAGCTCGATTTGTGTTACAGTTTTGTTCTTATGTGGGAGGATAAATTTACGTTGGTCGCAAGCAAAATTAGTTTTTCTGTTGAAATAAGCAATACAGCCTAGTTGCCTTCCTGCTGAAAAACAGGAAAATGGAAAAAAAAAGGATAATAAATTATGCGTAGGCTGAGCTGTTAGTTGTATGGGCGCCTTTGAATGCTTACAATTCGATAACTATTCTGCTCGTTCTGACTTGACTAAATAAGTTGTACGAGGGAATAAGGGAGGGAATTTGAGGAGAAAGGATTAAGCCTCTATATAGCTTCGCGTCCTAAAATAGCCAACGCTGAAATAAGCAAAGGGACATTGTTGGACATAGTAGTCTGGATATGGTTGCCCGGGTTACGTAGCAATCACGCTTCATTATCACTAAGAATAGGAGTATAGCTTTATGTGTTCTAAAAGCCGACAGCTATCTTTATGAAGCAGATAAACATACGGAATTACTCGAATCTGACTAGCTTGAAAAAATAAGAAAGCTGGCTTAAACTTTCCCATACATTTTTTGGTGATTCTTAAAGGAAACTTTTGTCTGCTTAACTGAATCGTTTGTCTAATGGGCCGTATGCTTACCATTATGTAACCATGGTGCGTCTGTGCTCTCAAACAACCAAGCGTGATTTAAGAAAAGGCATAGTTTTTTAAAAAATTCTTGAGATGTAAAATAGGAAACAGGAAACAAGAATCAGCTGGATTTTAGTCGTTCTTCATAAATAAATTCTATTTGAATAATGAATGAGACTTTACAACTCAAGTTCATTTATCAACCGGCCTAAAAGCAAACCTGTTCCAGCCTTATATCTGCTGCAATGATAACGCCAGCAAAGGAAGGCGAGCTAATATGGTTCGGTACTGCTTAAGCTTTCCATAAATCTCAAATACAGCTTCAACCAAGTAAGAAATTATACCAAAGTTGATCACAGAAATGACAATAATGCTACACAATCCATTAAAGATCGTGATTATTTTTTCTAAGCTAAGAATTAACGAGTTTCTTAACTCGAAAAAAATTGAGTTTAGAATTTGAAAATGACTCTTTGTCTTGTCGGTGTTTGTTGATTCCTAATCTATACAGTTGACAATCTTGAAAAATCTTCCGAAATAATTTTTCTGCAATATAAATATCATAAAAGTATTGAAGTAGATCAATGAAATGAACGTGAATAGTCACAGGGAAGTTCTAGTTATAGATTTAAATTCATAGGTTTAAGTCGTGAAGACCATACCAAGCGTCAATAGACAAATTCTTATCAAACATATGCAAACATACAACATAACATTTAAATCTGAGGCCATTTTGACACCTTGCCAGATAAGAAGAAAATTGACCAGTGACTGATACATAAGGTTTCTATCAAGCACACCAACACACAAACATTCATAGAACATGCAGCTCAAGTCTCTAATTTCGGAATCTATTCTGCTCTTAGATCTGTATGCTTACTATCCACAGACTAAGTTCAACAGTTATCAGTTGGTCTTCTTACTGCAGAATTCCGCCTCCCTGTCTATTTATCATTATGTAAAACACAAATTGAAGGAAAATGGTGAGGAAATAGAGAGGAAGTGGATTAAAAAACGTGAACGGATGGTTGGTCACGAGAAAATGTGAACGGATATTAGAAACTGAGGTGATGTTAATGTCTTTCTCTAAGTAAAAAAACTGCATTAAGAAAACCGTGCCATTCTAAACGAGAAATGGTAGGAGTTTTTTAATCAGGAATTGTCCAGGGAGTCGTAGGGTTTGGCATTTGCCCTTAAAGTTTGTAGTCTAATTTGTATTACTTGGGGTCCCTGGGGTATTTTCACCCTTGCTTTTT